TAATCCTGGATGCGTAACCCTGTGCACATAGATGACTATCTATGTACCGAGACTGGGCATGCACAGTAGTAGGTGAGACATATGTGTCCCCCTTTCTAGATGGCTTAGCTTTAGGTCAGGGGATGTCAACCAGGGCTACGTGTACCCCCAGGAATGCTTGGGAAGGCCCTAGGGGGTATGTGCAGGCAGGTGGGGATGGAGCATTGCTGCTTACCACTCTGCGCTGCCGCTTCCCAGGAGCAGGGCCAGGGGGAGGGGTGTCACGGGCAGTAGCATCCCTCTGTGGGCCAGACGCGGGGGAGGGAAGCTTTCATGCAGTGGCTGCCACCATCACCCACCGCTCCATGCTGCTGCTGCTCCACATGTCCAGCCAGGCGCCACCCCCTCCCCCCATCCTGCTCTGCATCTGGCTGCCGGGGATACGCTTATTAAAAAAGGCTGAAAATTTGGAAGTGGAGGAGGAAGAAAGAGAGATTTCTCATTTTTTCCTCACAAATAGATGAGTGGCCAGGGCACTGAGGTGGAAAACTGAAGGGCCTCAGTTCCTATCTTGGTCTTTTTGGTTTTCTAGCATGGCACTCTAATCACCATTATTCAGTCTCCTCTCCAGTGCTCCTTTTGAAGCTGGTCCCTGGCCCCTTGAGAGGGAGGTGCATGGGAGAAGACAATAGGTAAGACTAGGAGGAACAGAAGACAGTAATGCACCTCAGTGAGGTGACTGCTGGCCTGGCAGGGAGGGGGCCTGGGCTCTTGCTCTCAGTGAGGCAGAAACATCCCCTTTGCACTGTCCTTCATCCATTTTTTCCAGTGACTATAGTTGTGGCTCAGTTTCAAAGGGAGCACCAGAGAAGGAACTAATTGCACATGAGACCTATGACCACCAGTCTTGGATTCACTGGTGGAGCTGAGCACAGTGGTCTATATCTATGTATAGTTATGGTGTGCCTAGCAACCATCTTGGCCTGTCATCTTCCCATGGAGGACTTAATACTCTCCTCCCACCCCTTGATATTTAAGTTCCTAAAGGGCATAACTAAGGTGTTGCCACAAATAAAATATTTGATCCTTTAGAGTAGGACCTCAAGCTAGTCCTCACAACTCTGATTGCCATTTATTTTAACTGATGACAACTTGCTCACTTTATCACCAGTCCATGAAGACAGCATTGGTCTTTGGTGAAGAGGATGATGGTATGGGAGATCCAAATGTTAAAGGCTACCTACAATATTCCATTCACACAAGTTTTCCTTGAGGCTATGTGCTCAGTTCTTGCCCAAATTGTGAAGGAATATCACTTGTCAATACATCCATCTGTGGCTTTCTTTCTAAAATCTCACTCCTTAAGGGTAGAGTTTCTCTCCATATCTGGATGTCAGGAAGATTCTTGCCTTCTATGGGGATGTTCTAAAGCCTTTCTGATCATCCCTTTGTCTCTTCAGTATCATAGTGATAATCTCATAACTACACTGATCTCCACCAGGAGACTAACAAGACTGTGTTAAGTAAGGTCAGCTGTGAAACTGCAAAGGTGGAGCCTTCACACTGTTTAGAGCACACTCCACTGGAGCTTAGAAAACATCTCTGTCCTCCCTCAAGAGCATCTTCATTCCAAACAGCTTCAAAGCTGGTACCTGGAGTGCTGTCCACACTTTCACCAAGCGCTATACCACTGTTGCAGCCTCCTGGTCAGATGCTACATTTGGGAAAGCAGGCCTGCAGTTGTTAGCTTAGGACTCAGAAAACCTGCCCTGTATGACACTGATACTGCTTTGGAGTCACCCGGGTGGAAGGAAGATATGAACAATCATTTGAAAGAGTTGGACAAGGTACTTACCATGGCAACTGGACTGAGATATGTTGTTCCTAGCACAATCTTTCTGCTGCCCTCATCCCTTCTTCCTAGGAGTCAGTGCATCCTGGGATTGAGCAGGTCAGAGAAAAATGAGGAATGTGAAACAAGCACTTCTGTTTCATGCCCACTCTGAAGAGCATGAGGAGGAACAAGGCACAAGTATTGTTAAGATAAAAAATTCTCCAAGCTTGAGTGCACCAGGCACATGTGTTCCCACTGTGGACAGGACATACAGGCCACATCTCTTGAAAAACTCCATTTACCACAGAGCTAACCTTTCTCTGTTATGTCCTTAACACACAGTGTTGTATGTCATGTTAGGATATTTTTTGCACTGTTTTTGTCATGATAACACTTTTAGCACCTGACAGTGCTAAAAAAGAATAACATATTTTTTAAGTACAGATCAAGCATTTTCGTTATAAGGGATGATTACAAAACTCATACTACTTTAGCTATGGCTGTTACAAGAAAATTGAATGTTTGAATGTCTTCCAATTGTTGGGAAATGAATGCAGGAAGTTTTCATCAGTGGAAATGGCAATTAAGGAGAAGTGGCTAGATTTTTTAAGCTTTTTGGCAACATACTGGAAAAGGAAATTGATTCAACTTTTTAAAAAGTATTCCATAACATAAGAAATGCAATGTGCCACTGAATATTTTTCATGTATTAAATGACCAGGGCTCTTCAGGTTGCTTTGATTTAAAGGATTCCTTTCTCTTCATTTATTTTAGTACATGCAAAGATCTCAATCCAGGCCCAATATGCTAGAATCTATACAAATGCTTAAAAGAAGATAGGACTCTTGCCCCAAAATATAAATACTAAATTTCACAAGACTGATGACAACAGACAGAAAACATGCAAACAAAATACCAAAGCTCTATCTATCTTGTTACATTTTTAATTTCCTCAAAATATTTCTTGCCATACTTCTGTCTCTGTGGCCAGGTAATAGCCGCTGTATTGATCACCTAGTGTGATCCCTTTTGCTCTTCCTATGTTATAGGAATAGATTGAGGGTTAGCATATATGTAGGAAAGTAGCTCATCAGATGATGTTTACATTAGAGTCACTTTATGTGTCTTGACATAGGTTTGACTTCCAGCTCAAACTGACCCTCTCTCCTCCTTTATCTCATCTCACCACAGAAACATTATAAAGAAATACTGATCTCCACTGTGGGGTTTCTGTAGAAGATTTTTCATGCTCTGGTGCAGGCCTTTCTGGCCCACTTTGAAATGTTAGAGGAAAAAATACAGTAAATTTTAAAAATAAAAAACACATTCAGCTATCATATTCTTAAACTGTTAAGTGATGTTGAGTTTTTAGTGTGTTAAGGGGAGGTATTTACAAAATCAAAAGAATAAGAATACCTTTTTGAAGAAAAACAATTTATACTTAAATATATAGAGAGACTTGTTTTTTAACTACTTCATAAATGTTGTATTGATATTCTTCTTGTTAATTATATTCACTTGGTATGACACATACTATGGGGCAATATTTTGTTTTGTGGTCATGATTCAGACTTTTAAGAAAGAGGAGGTTCTCTTTAAAATCTTTTGTACTTCTGTCTCCTCACCCCTCCCTTCCTTTTAGTAGGCTGGCACACTACTTCAGTCTGTATGCCTGCTTGTGTTCCAAAGAAATGAAAAATATTTCAATAGCACTCTATTCAGTAATGCCAGGGGCTTCCCTTTGATTTTGGAGAGGCCAGGATGTTACTCCAGATGTACAATTATTTAACTTTATGCAGATTACAAAATAAAGCCAAGAAAGATTCATTTTCAGTTATTTTAAAGAAGCTGGTTTTATTAAGTAAATGTCAGATCAGTACATTCTCAATCCGTTACAGAGTTGATAAGTGCTGTGCTTTAAATTTAAAGTACATGTGACTAAGTCCATTGACTACTCAGATGCTTAAACTTAAGCATTTGCTTAAGGGAGTGACTTTCAGAGACAAAAAGGGGGCTAAGGTATCTCTCTTCCATTGATTTCCATATCACAAAATCAGGACAAAGTAGATGCTTACTCCATATTGCTTTTAAAAATCTCTCTCCGACCTCTCTACTGGCTCAGGGTCTTATGTACATTCTAATACATTAAACTCTGTAAAGCACAGTAGTGCTAATATTTAAACAATTTAAAATTAAGTATACAGTCCTGCATGATGGGATTGGAACTCATATAGCTTCTCTCAAAAGGTCTTCATAAAATGAAATTATTACAAAAAAATCACTAGTTTTACTAAAGGATATGTATGTAATTTGGAAGTAATTTCATGTCTCTCAATTTTTCAAACATCATACTTATTGCAAAGTTGTATTTATATATCTGCACACCAGCTGAAGGCCCCTCTACTTGTGCAGGTAAAGGGGCAATGGGATCAAATGTGATCCACACAATTACACCTACCATGCCACACATTCATAGAAGGAGACACAATTGTGGGATTGCACATTAGATCCCATCCTGCCTTATCACTGGGTGCAAGGGAGCCTGGGATTGTGAGCCTGAGCTCCTCCTGCACCGGCTCCTGTGGCTGCGAGACCTGCTGCTAATGAGGCCCAGTGGGGCCTGCAGTGGAGGCCGTGTTCCCCAC